AGGGCTTCTCCCAGCAAAGGAGATCCCTGGAGACCGCTAAGGGGGTCCCTGACCTTGGTGAGCGGCCAGCAGGAGCCAATCCAAACGCGAAGTATTAGCAATCAATCTCACCAGAGGCTGAAGAGGTATCCAGTGACCGAAGCGTTTATTTCTGCGATTCAGCTGAAAAGGATGCGTTACAGGGATATTTCCACCATAAGCATACATTCATGGAAGTTACAGGCATTTTTATATTGTCAGAACAAAGGAAAAACAGTTTGAAAATCCCGCCCGCCCTCCGTCAGCTGGCTTCGTCCTGATTGGCTGTCCCTGGAACAGCTGGGAGGAGGCCGGGCCGTATGTCCGCCTTCCCTCCAATCGCCGGGCGCTGTTGCCTCCAGGGGGCCAATCGGAGCCTTTCTAGCGCTTCTGAGGATGGTCCAATCAGCGACCAGGAGGTGGGACCTGGTTTGACAGCTCATAGGGGGCGGAGTGCCTGGGAGGCGTCCGCCAGCCGATTGAGAGCCTTTGTTCTTAGCTGTGGGGTGGCAGACGGAAGAAACAAAAGAGCTTCCTGATTCCTTGATTGGGGATGTGTAGAGACATGAAAAGGGGCTGTTGATGGCATTTGGATCTCGGACTCTGTAAACAAGGAGACCCTTGAACACAAAGGAGCTGCACAAATGCCATGGGTTGGGTTAATTAATCCTTCTTTCCAGGTTTCGGTTGACTTATCTCTGGCCCATTGTCTGAACTCTGAAAATGTGCCCGGAGATAGGATCAACCCCGGCCCATGCAAAATGTTAATATGAATGGATTTACTTTTGAGGAAATGAGGTTTCCTCCTGACAATAACCTCAGGTCACATTCTTTTCTGGGGCAAGGTTCAGAGGGAGGAAAGGTGGGAGGGGGAGAGAGTCAGGGTGCATCTTATGTGATAGATATCAATTATAAACATTTTCTCATGCTTCATACATTTCATACATTTCATTTCTGCCAGAATTATGATCTCCTTGGCGAAGGTGCACACGCAGGCGGAGGCTGTTCCTGCCCAGGGGCCTGGTTCGGAGTCCGTGGAGAAGGTCCAAGACGATGGGGCATCAAGTCAATAAGTAAAGGCAAAAGAATCTGTAAGGGGACTTCCAGGCGGAGGGGTGTGGGGCAATGTCCTTCGGAAAACTACATTTCCCTGATCAAGGGCCAGGGTCCAGTGCACAAGCCAGAGAATTCACGAAGAAGAAACAGGAACCCAGTTATGTGCGCTGGGTCAGGAAGCAACAGAATCCATTGTCCGGCCCTTGGCGAACTACAAATACTCGAGGGGGGGGGGGGAAAGATGCTCCGCATCACTTCATTCTCTAACTTTCCTTCCCCCCTTTTCTTCCTCCTTTCTCTTTTTCTCTACCTTTCCTTCTTCCCCTTCTCTCTTTCTCCCTTCTTCCTCTCCCTTTCCTTCTTTCTTCCTTCTCTTCTTTCTTTCTCTCTTTCTTTCTTCTTCTTTCTTTCTTTCTCCTTCCCTCCCTCTTTCTTCCTTTTCTGTATTGTCATTTAGCTTTTCATCATTTGGGGGCTTTTTAAGTCCCTTCTGCTGTGTTTTTCAGTGTTTTTATGAGTGAAGGACATACATTGGGTTGTTAGGTGTCTTGTGTCCAAATTTGGTGTCAATTCCCCCAGTGGTTTTTGAGTTCTGTTAATCCCACAAACAAACATTACATTTTTATTTATATAGATGATGATGATGATGATGATTATTATTATTATGTATTATGATGATTTAGCATGATTATATTATTGGAATGTTGGAATGTGGGTTGTGTATGAATGTGTGCATGTGTATAAGTATATGACTATATGTATATATGTATATATTGTGTATTGGGGGGGTTAAGTCTGTTCTGCTGGGGCTTTGTGTGCGTGTGCGCGTGTTTAGGGGTGATGGACACTCGTCGGATTGTTATGTGTATTTTGTCCAAATTTGGTGTATTTTTGGGGGTTTTTAAGTCTGTTCTGCTGGGGCTTTGTGTGCGTGTGCGCGTGTTTAGGGGTGATAGACACTCGTCGGATTGTTAGGTGTATTTTGTCCAAATTTGGTGTCAATTCATCCAATGGTTTTTGAGTTATGTTAATCCCACAAACGAACATTGCATTTTTATTTAAATAGATGAGATATCTAATATACATTTGGAAATGTGTAATATACCATTAGAACAGGCCTGGGCAAACTTAGGCCCTCCAGATGTTTTGGACTTCAACTCCCACAATTCCTAGCAGAGATATACATTTGGATATATTGCCTGCTTTACAGTGTTAAAACGGGATATCTATGGAATTAAGCCATTAATTAATTATGAATAAATAAGTCATAATAATCACAAGCGCCTGATGAAATGCTATAACACAAAAAAATGGAATGGCTGTATCTTTCCATGATACAAAGCTTGGGACCATTCAGGATTAGGGATGCTCTCAACCTGTTAAAAAAACAAGACCGCCCGCCCCCCCCCGGATTGTCAGTGGTCTCGCCCGGTGCCGGCAGAGGGCACCTCTTCCTGTTGGAGCCTGGCCACTCTATTGCTCGGCCGGGGGGAGGCGGGGTTTCCCAAGTCAGCCGCCGCTGCACATCCGGATTGAGCCTAAGCAGCCTCTCTTGATTCCCGCAATACAGAGGGAGAGAGAGAAAGGAGGAGGAGGACTCCCCCCATTCTGCCGGCTCCATATTCCGACCCGCAGGTTGATTGTAGGTGATCAAAGGCAATTCCATTCGGAAATGGGGGGGGGGGGGGGGAGAAGGGGGAGAAAGGGCTGTTGCTAGGAAGAGGGAGGGCCCCCCAGCAACTAGGCCTGGAAGGCTTTTTGAGTCAAACCTTGGCCTTGATTTCCCTTCTGCGGTGGATGGAGAGGTGGGTTGACATATTAAATGAAAGGATTTATTTATATTTGGGTGGGGTGGGGTGGCTAGCATATAATAAACCCTAAAAATGATAATATTCACAGCAAACCACGCCCCCCCCCAAAAACCTTCAAAGAAATTGTTGTGAACCCTCAAAAGAACCTATCAATTAGGGTACAGCATGCAGGAAAAACAAAGGATCTAGATATTAACATAGCTCATGTTTCTGATTCCATATATATATATATATGTCTGTATATATTAATGCAAACTGCTTATGCTACAGCTTGCCAGAAGAAACAAAGGAACTAGCAACTAATGGAGCTCAGGCTTATGGGGTTTTTTTGAAAATTGATTTTTGATTGATTTCTTTCTAATGCAAACAACCTGCTTCGTTTCATGTATGCCTGTGTAAGGCCCAGATTAGACAATGGGCTGAATATTGTGAATGGTTGCGCTGGGATGTGTGTTTTGAAGGATGTATATTGTAACCTGATTAAGTTTTTTTATGATTTTTAAATTGATCAATTTTAATGGTGTTTTAACTTTTGTGTCTTGTGGGTTGTTAACCATGTATTTTTAATTGTTCCAAGACTCTGGGCATCCCAATTTGGGGGGAAAGACAAGATAATAATATAATAAGATATAATAATATATAATACTATATAAATAAAATAATATATAGGTTGTTGTAAGGTTTTTCGGGCTATATGGCCGTGGTCTAGAGGCATTCTCTCCTGACGTTTCCCCTGCTTCTATGGCAAGCATCCTCAGAGGTAATCAATAGGAGCATAGTGTCTAGATCTAGGGAAGTAATGCTACCCCTCTATTCTGCTTTGGTTAGACCACACCTGGAAGATTGTATCCAATTCTGGGCACCACAGTTCAAGAGAGATGTTGACAAGCTGGAGTGTGTCCAGAGGAGGGCGACTAAAATGATCAAGGGTCTGGAGAACAAGCCCTATGAGGAGCGGCTTAAGGAGCTGGGCATATTTAGCCTGAAGAAGAGAAGGCCGAGAGGAGATATGATAGCAATGTATAAATATGTAAGAGGAAGCCACAGGGAGGAGGGAGCAAGCTTGTTTTCCGCTTCCTTGGAGACTAGGACGCGGAACAATGGCTTCAAACTACAAGAGAGGAGATTCCATCTGAACACGAGGAAGAACTTCCTGACTGTGAGAGCCGTTCGGCAGTGGAACTCTCTGCCCCGGAGTGTGGTGAAGGCTCCTTCTTTGGAAGCTTTTAAACAGAGGCTGGATGGCCATCGTTCAGGGGTGATTTGAATGCAATATTCCTGCTTCTTAGCAGGGGGTTGGACTGGATGGCCCATGAGGTCTCTTCCAACTCTTTGGTTCTATGATTCTGTGAGGTAGTGAGGTCTGTTGGAACTAGGAAAATGGGTTTATATATCTGTGGAATGACCAGGGTGGGACAAAGGACTCTTGTCTGCTGGAGCTAGGTGTGAATGTTTCAACTGACCACCTTGATTAGCATATAATGGCCTGACAGTGCCTGGAGCAAACTTCTGTTGAGAGGTGATTATATGTCCTTGTTTGTTTCCTCTCTGTTGTTGTGCTGTTGTAGTTTTAGAGTTTTTTAATACTGGTAGCCAGATTTTGTTCATTTTCATGGTTTCCTCCTTTCTGTTGAAATTGTCCACATGCTTGTGGATTTCAATGGCTTCTCTGTGCAGTCTGACATGGTGGTTGTGAGAGTGGTCCAGCACTTCTGTGTTCTCAAATAATATGCTGTGTCCTGGTTGGTTCATCAGGTGCTCTGCTATGGCTGACTTTTCTGGTTGAAGTAGTCTGCAGTGCCTTTCATGTTCCTTGATTTGTGTCTGGGCAATGTAGACTTGTCCACAGCTGCATGGTACACAGTAGACTCCTGCAGAAGCGAGAGGATCCCTCTTGTCCTTTGCTGAATGTAGCATTTGTTGGTTTTCTTGATTTGATTTTCTTGGTGGGTCTGTAGATAGTTTGTAAGTTGTGTTTCCTCATCAGCTTCCCTATGCGGTCAGTGGTTCCCTTGATGTATGGCAAGAACACTTTTCCTCTGGGTGCATCTTTGTCTTGACTCTCGTGGCTTGTTCTTGCAGCTCTTCTGATGTCTGAGGTGGAGTATCCATTTATATAATATATAAATAAAATATATAAATAAAAGGCAGCAATCTTTTGCTGGAGTAATAATAGTAGTAGTTTTGAAGCACAATACTCCTGGCCTCACGATCGTGTTAAAAAACAAAGTTTGGATTGTTGATGTTGCAATCCCAGGTGACAGCAGGATTGAAGAGAAACAACTGGAGAAGCTGACATGATATGAGGATTTAAAGATCAAACTGTAAAGACTCTGGCACAAGTCAGTCAAGGTGGTCCCAGTGGTGATCGGCACACTGGGTGCGATGCCTAAAGACCTTGGCATGCACTTAAACACAATCAGCGCTAACAAAATTACCATCTGCAGCTGCAAAAGGCCACCTTATTGGGATCTGCATGCATTATTCGCCAATATATCACACAGTCCTAGACACTTGGGAAGTGTCCAACATGTGATCCTATACAAAAGCCAGCAGAGTGATCTTGTCTGCTGTGGACTCATCTTGTTGTGATAATAATAATAATAATAATAATAATAATAATAATAATAATAATAATAATAAATATGTCAAAGCCTTCTTATAGCAACACCTGAGGCACTCCAAGTGGTCAGCTTCTGATCAAAGGACATTTAGTATAATGCCAAGTATTTAAACTTTGTGTTTTTAAATACATTACAACTGTTCGCTTCTGACACAATAAATAAATAAAAATCTTCATCATTGTGTTGTTGAAGGCTTTCATAGCTGGAATCACTGGGTTGCTGTGAGCTTCCTGGGCTGTATGGCCCTATTCCAGAAGCATTCTCTCCTGAAGTTTCATCCACATCTATGGCAGGCATCCTCAGAGGTTGTGAGGTCTGTTGGAAACTAGGCAAGTGGGGTTTATATATCTGTGGAATGTCCAAGGTGGCAAAAAAACCCTCTTGTCTGTTTGAGGCAGGTGTGAATGTTGCAGTTGGCCACCTTGGTTAACATTAAATGGCCTTGCAGCTTTGAAGCCTGGCTGCTTACTGCCTGGGGGAAACGATGCAAATGGACATGGATTTAAACCTTGGACATGGATTTAAACATTGATTTTTATAGTTTTAAATTGTTTTAAATGAATTTTATGTGATTTAACATGTTTTAAACGATGTATTTCTGTGTGTTCAGCATCTAATGGTTGCCAGTCTGTACTGAGTCGCCTTCGGGCTGAAAAGGGCAGGATAAAAGTGTGGCAAATAAAAAAAAAATCTGTGAGGGGAAGTCATAGGGAGGAGGGAGCAATCTTGTTTTCTGCTGCCTTGGAGACTAGAATGTGGAACAATGCCTTCAAACTACAGGAAAGGAGTTTCCACCTGAACATTAGGAAGAACTTCCTAACTGTGAGAGCTGTTCAGCAATGGAACTCTCTGTCCTGGAGTGTGGTGGAGGCTCCTTTGGAGGCTTTTAAACAGAGGCTGGATGGCCATCTGTAAGGGGTACTTTGAATGTGATTTTCCTGCTTCTTGGCAGGGGTTGGACTGGATGGTCCCAAAGGTCTCTTCCAACTCTATAATTCTATGATCATTGTGTCTCTTCCAATTCTATGATTAAGAAAGAAATTGTTAAATCAAAATGGGATATCTTCTATCACTATTTTTGTTGTCTCAAGCTGCTTTGAGTCTTAATCTGGGGAAAAGGTGGAATAGAAATATCAATATCATTGTCATAATCTCCTCCCCTTCCTCTGAATTTTGGGAACAGACAGAGAAAGGAAAAGGCAATGGTTAGATCAAAATAGGGTGTCATATATCACTTTCTTTTTGGTGTTGTTGATTCAGGATAGTGGTTAGGGTCAGAGTGGGATAATAATAATAATAATAATAATAATAATAATAATAATAATAATACTTTATTTATACTCCGCCACCATCTCCCCAAGGGACTCAGAGCGGCTTACATGAGGCCAAGCCCAACAACACATCAATAAAACAAGAAAGCAATAAACAAAAACAATACAATTAGTATAGATCGCATATAAACAATAACACACAAAGATTTAAAAACCTATGGCTGGGATTGAACCAAGAGTAAAAGTGAAAAGGATGCCTGAGCAAGGAGAAAATCAGAAAGAGAGAGATTTAGAAGAACAATAATGGCCAGTGGCTAAACTGAATTGGCTTAATAACATTCAAATCTCTCTCTTTTTGGGCCATCCAGATTAAGATACTGTAAAGGCCCCCAGTTGAATTAGTAACTTGCAGAGAAAGATAAAGTCAGTCATTTTGGCCTCTTGAGGACAAAAGCAAAAATAATGTGCAAAGGCATGGTTTGTGGGTGGAGTGAGATGTTGCAAATACAAACTCAGATTACTTTATTCAAATTGCCTGTTGATTTATAGAGACCCAGTGAATCTCACAGTGGATTATTTAGGAATAAACAGCCAGCACTGACCTATTTCTTTGCTGCATCCTGATAACCAATGTTTCAGTTTTCACCTTTGCTTTCTGATCTTACTACTCTTGCCTCTGATGTAATTAAGGAGTCTTCGGCCTCAATCTTAAGCACTGTTGGATTTATAAAACTGCAATTATATGCACATTCTCCTTTCTTTGATGTGTTATATCTTTAAAGAAATAGGATTGTTTACCATGTAATTAAAGGTTAGGAGTCAAAATCAGCAAGGTCATAGTGATCCCTAGGTGCAACAGTAGTCATTTCATATTAAAATAAGGATCCAGTTATGAAGAAGCAGCCATAAGCTTATTATAGCCATATATATGATGTTAGTACCATAGAATTGGCAGCAATCAGCCAGTCTTTGAAGCTGCAAGGCCATTCAATGCTAATCAAGGTGGCCAAATACAACATTCACACTTGCCTCCAGCAGACAAGAGTTTTCTCCCACCCTTGACTTTCCACAGATATATAAACCCCACTTGCCTAGTTTCCAACAGACCTCACAACCTCTGAGGATGCCTGCCATAGATGTGGGTGAAATGTCAGGAGAGAATGCTTCTGGAAGATGGCCATACAGCCTGGAAAGCTCACAGCAACCCATTGACACTTTTGCTTTCTAATGATTCAATGGACACAGATTTTGTTTTATGCACAAAATTATTAAAATATTGTGTATAAAGATACTTTCAGGGTGCGCATAAAGCATATATGCAAGATACTCCACTTAGGCAGAAAAAAAATGAAATGTAAAGATACAGAATGGGGGATGCCTGACTTGACAGTAGTACGTGTGTAAAAGATCTTGGAGTCCTCGTGGACAATAAGTTAAACGAGCCAGGAATGTCATGCGGCAGCTTAGAAAGCCAATGGGATTTTGACCTGCATAAAAAGGAGTCTAGTGTCTAGATCCAGGGAAGTCATGCTACCCCTCTATTCTGTCTTGATCAGGCCACACCTGGAATCATGGTGTATTCTACACCTGGAATCATAGTTCTGGGCACCGTAATTGAAGGGACGTGTTGACAAGCTGGAATGTATCCAGATGAGGGAAACTAAAATGATAAAGGGTCTGGAGAACAAGTCCTATGAGGAGCGGCTTAAAGTGGCTGACTTAGGAAACAATGCTGGCTATCTTCAACTTAAACATTACATCTTTAGGGAAGGGGGTTGCCAGCTTTATTATTTGCACAACTTCTCTGTTTTAGAGAGATAAACCCGGTTAATAACAATAATAGTAATAATAGTAATAGCAACTGGAAAAGCTTACATGATATGAGAATTTAAAGATCGAACTACAAAGACTCTGGCACAAGCCAGTCAAGCTGGTCCCAGTGATGATCGGCACACTGGGTACAGTGCCTAAAGAGCTTGGCCTGCACTTAAACACAATTGGCGCTGACAAAATTACCATCTGCCAGCTGCAAAAGGCCACCTTACTGGGGGATTTGCATGCATTATTCGCCGATACATCACACAGTCCTAGACACTTGGGAAGTGTCCAACATGTGATCCAATACAACAGCCAGCATAGTGATCTTGTTTGCTGTGTACTAAACTTGCGGTGTATCAAATAGCAACACATCAGAGAAGGGCAGTTTTGTGTATATCTATTCAAAAATCTGAAATCCAGAAGCATGTAGCAATTTGTAGCTCCCTTTTAATCCCACTTATTACAGCTCTGTCAAATTCTGTCCTACTTCTGAGTTATATGTGAACTGAACTATACATGATACATTTATGTTAGAAACCAAAATAAGCTCAAGTTTGATTTTTAAAATGTATATTGTACATATTATAATTCCCTCTCAATTTTCAATATTTTCAGTTCAATAAAGGTGGAGGGATATCTCCACATTTCAGACTCTCATTCTCCCAGCAAGAGCTTTGGCTGCTGTTATAAGAAAATAATCTGTTTTGCATATTCAAGTGTTCGGTGCTATTAAAAGGTTATCTTTGTATATTTGTCACAACTCAGACTATTGTGGAAATGTTCTTCACTATTTTGTTACTTATTTGGGCCAGGCAGGACACAGTTCTATGTACTCCAAGGGCACTTCTTTCGTGGGTAAGCCAAACAATCAAAGGGCTGGTAATATCTTTAAATTCTACTATCCCTGCAGAGGTTGCAAAACTGTGTCCTAAATCCACATGAAAGGCCTCTAATCAGGTTATTCACTTGTCTCTTCATCTCCTACTGGGCTTGTAATTTTCTGATACTATCAAAAGAGAGAGGCAACCTGTTTCCTTTGCCTATTTATAGTGTGAGACATGCCCAACTGTAATTACAAGCTATTAGAACAAATTGGGTACATTAATCACCTGCATTAAAAGTAGGCCAGAAGTGTAGAATTTTGTTTTTGTAGAATAGAACTATGGTAGTAAAGGTAAAGGTTTCCTCTTGACAGTAAGTCTAGTTATGTCCGACTCTGGGGGGTGGTGCTCATCTCCATGTCTAAGCCGAAGAGCCGGCATTGTCCATGGACACCTCCAAGGTCATGTGCCCAGCATGACTGCATGGAGTGCCATCACTTTCCAATAGAAGCAATACCTATTGATCTACTTATATTTGCATGTTTTTGAACTGCTAGGTTGGCAGAAGCTAGGGCTAACAGTGGGTGCTCACCCCGCTCCCTGGATTTGAACCTCTGAACTTTTGGTCAGCAAGTTCAGCAGCTCCGCGGTTTAACCCACTGTGCTACCAGAGGGCCTTTGTATACACATATACATATTGGTAAATAAACAACTGCATTAAAATCAAGCCAATTAAAAACAAACATTAAAACATCAGTTAAAATCACAAAACCCAGATCATATTCCAGGGCCAATAAACTAATAGGCAAGTTTGAAATCACATAGTCAAATTTAACTGATAGGACATCAGACTTGTTGGGTTTGCATTTTCCCTCTGTAACCAAGGATGGGTGATGTTGGACTACAATTTTGCACTGGCTAAGGATGATAGGAGTATAATGCAAGATATCTGGAGGGCACTGAGTTGGGGAAGGTTAGCCTTGCTAGCAATCACCAGTGAGAGTACAACACTGAATAAATTTGATTTCTTGTTCTTGGCAGGGACTAGTGAACTTCTGAGAAGACATTTTCCACCATGGAGCCCTGGGTGTACCTGGACCCACGTCAGAGGGCTTTGTATCGAGATGTCATGCAGGAGAGCTATGAGACATTGATGTCTCTCGGTAAGGATCACATTTCTGCCTTATTTTTTGTTTCCTTGATCTCTCTTTTCCCCCTTTCATCATTTACAAGTAGCAAATGGCAGGGCCTCCGCAGTTTCTTTTTCCCTTTTCGGTTTAGCAAAAATCCCTTAGAAAAAACACTCCAAGAAACTCCGCTCATTTTCTTTCTTTCCTGTAACTCAAAATTGAGCCAGTGGGTCGTAGTACTATGTAGACTTGGGTGAGCTGGTGCCATTAACTAGTTTTCTGCTGCCCTGGAGACTAGGACTTGAAGCAACGGGTTCAGATTACAGGAAAGAAGATGCCACCCAAACTTTAGGAAAAATTTCCTGACTGTAAGACCTGTTCAATAATGGAACTCACTGCCTCTAAGTGTGGTGGAGCTTCTTCTTTGGAGCGGGTTGAACTGGATTGTCCTTGGGGTCCCTTCCAATTCTACGATTCCATGATTCTTTGCCAATCGTGAGATATGGATCGCAGTCATAACCCAACAATATCCAGAGCGTCAGATTGCCTACCTGTTATTAAGAGTGCTAGCATAGGATTGGGAAGACCCAAGTTCAAATCCCCTCTTCTTGGGGATGCCAAGAAAAGAGATGTTTGGGTGGGAAACTGAACATGACATATTGGTTTGAGTGTTGGACTAGGACATCAGGAGGACAGGGCTCAAATCCCCACTCAGCCATGAGCGATCTTGGGCAGGTCACACTCTCACCTTTGGGGGAAGTAAAGACAACCTCTGCCTGAACAAATCCTGCCAAGAAAACAATGTAAGTCAGAAAAAGAAAAGGCAGAGGAATGGGAGGCCAAATTGCCAATATCCACTGGATAATGGAGAAAGGCAGGGAAAAACATCTATTTCTGTTTTATTGACTATTCTAAAGCCTTTGACTGGGTGGGTCATAATAAATTGTGGCAAGTTCTTGGTGGTATGGGCATCCCAAGCCACCTTGCCTGTCTCCTGAGGAATCTGTATAATGACCAAGTAGCAACCGTAAGAACTGACCATGGAACAACAGACTGGTTCAAGATTAAGAAAGGCATATAGCAGGGTTGTATCCTCTCACCCAACCTATTCAACTTGTATGCAGAACACATCATGTGACGTGCAGGGCTTGATGAATGCAAGGCTGGGATAAAAATTGCTGGAAGAAACATTAACAACCTTAGATATGCAGATGATACCACTTTGATGGCCAAAAGCGAGGAGGAGCTGAGGAGCCTTTTAATCAAGGTGAAAGAAAAAAGTGCAAAGGCTGGGTTGCAGTTAAACATTTTAAAAAGCCAAGATTTTGGCAACCGGACTGATAGATAACTGGGAGAAAACTTGAAGGCAGTGACAGACTTTGTATTTCTAGCAGGCCTGTAGCCAGCAAGGGGGGGGGGGGAGAGGTTAGGGGTACAAACCCCCCCACCCCAAATTTTCAGGTTAAAAAAACCCTGGTTTACTCATGAATTTTAACTGGTTAACCAAATCCCCATGCTAAGTCTGTGAGACACAAAAAATTAAGAGTCCCTCCAGAACTCCAAGCACTATCTCAAGCAAATATTGAGACTGGCCCTATATCCTAGATTATCTGGCAGTGTGGACTCATATAATCCAGTTTAAAGCAGAAAGCCTGGGATCAGGTCCTGGGACATAGGGCCTGTCTGGAAGGACCCTTAATCTTGGATTTTTGCACCACAAGGAAAACACTTGTGTGGTGCAAAAATTATCAGTTTTTAGTTGCTATTTTTCTGTTTTTAGTAATGCCATAGTACAGGTTGTAGTGAGGACTAAACTGAGAAGGAGAGCCATATATGCTAGCTTGAACTATTGGAGGAGTTTCGTGCCACCCCAAGATATATGTGATGAAGTGCATAGGCATCCACATAGTTTATTCCATCTAAAATAAGTTAATTTTCAAAGTGCTACCAATAGGCCATAGTTTTTGGAGGAAGGGATTGGAGAGAAACAAACAGCAGCAACAACAAAACCCTTTTTAAAAGCAGTAGCTTTTTAAAACATCTCTTTCCGCTTCTATATTCTGTATAACTTTAAAAACATACACTTTTTGTCTGCAAATTGGAACACTTGAAGTTAAGATTGTGGTTAAAGAGTCAAGCAAAACCTACAACAAAAACTAGGCTTGAAAGTAACTTATTAAACAGTCTATACAGCCCATGCTAGATTTAGGAACCTGCTTTAAGAACAATTGGATGCAAATTTATTACACTGTTGTAATTCAATAAATATTGTCTTACCTTGAAGAAGGTTCTCATTCAGTTTAGTGACATTTATGTATTTGAATAAGAACTTGTTTATATTATACCCACAGAGGAAAACCTGCTCTCTGGGTACATAAAAGGGAAAGGCACATTTTATTCTCTCCAAGCCTTTCCAGGAGGAGCCTTGATGCATTAGCACAACTGCTGACCCACCTGGAGCCAATTTAGTCAGTTTCTACAACAGTTGCTCCCCATTAAACTTAAATTGTAGCCTTGTGGCTTGATCACACCATGTAACACAATTTGAAAAATTATCTGTTCCTGGTTTGTAAATGTTATTTTTCTGTTTAATTGTGTGGCACTTACTTTGAAAGTAAGCACTCCAGAAACTTTGTTTTTGTGGCCACCACAAAGTTGAATTGGTTGAGACTCAATGAGATATTCATTGAAAAACTGTTGCAAAATGTGCTGCAGGATTTCTCTCAAGAACAAAGTTTTTTGCAGTTTAATAAACCTTTTCCATGGATTGTTGTAGGTTTTTTTCTAGGCCATGTTCTAGAAGCATTCTCTCCTGACATTTCACCTGCATCTGTGAGAGGCATCCACAGAGAGATGCAGGCAAAACTTCAGGAGAGAATGCTTCTAGAACATGGCCATACCTACAACAACCCAGTGATTCTGCAATGAAATCCTTCGACAAAACCTTTTCCATGTTTTTATGATGGAACCAATTAGGAAATTACATTTATAGCCCAGCAACAAAAATGTGTTACATAGTGTAATCTCGTGTGTGTGTGTGTGTGTGTGTGTGTGTGTTTAAGGAAAGCATTGGGCCATTCAATATCTCAGATTTTCAGGTGAAACAATATCTGTGCATTGATTTGGGGAACTAAAGTGCCAGCATGGCCTGGGGGATTCTGTGCATTGTAACCCCAAACAGTAATACTTTCGGGTTGTAAGTTAAATCTCAAGTCTTGCTCTGAACCTAGAAAGCCAGCATGGTGAGACAGGATTCATGTTCAGACATGAAAACCTATTGGGTTTTTTTTCATACCAGGAGCAACTTGAGAAACTGCAAATCGCTTCTGGTGTAAGAGAATTGGCCGTTGCCCAGGGGATGCCCAGATTTTTTACTATCCTGTGGGAGGCTTCTCTCATGTCCCTGCATGGGAAGCTGGAGCTAACAGATGGAAGCTCACCCCACTCCATGGATTCGAACCATCGGCCTTTTGGTCAGCAGTCCCGCTGGCACAAGAGTTTAATCCATTGCATTACCAGGGGCTGCACCCACTGGGTAATTTGGTCAAATCACATGCTCTCAGCCTCAAAAAAATGCCACAAGTCAGAAATGCATTAATGGCATACAGCAGCAACCACAACATAGAACTTGGAGATGTTGTATTTTGCAGTTATAAATTTCACACTATCTCATAGCCAGCTTCAGAAGGCTATTTCTAAAGCATGAAAATAATACTTTAAAAAAACTGCAACACCCATATTAATTGGGAATCTAAAAGTTGTAACGCCTTCAAATTCATGCTCTAAGAACTGGAACTACGAGTAAAGTTTGATGAGACAGCTCTCACACATGGTAGAATTAATGCAGTTTGACACCACATTGAAGGTGCATCTATGCTATAGAATTAATTCAGTTTGACACCACTATTACTCCTATGGCTCAGAGCTATGGAATCATGGGAGCTCTATTTTACCAGGTCTGTAGCTGATGCTCCTTGTGATGCCGTAGCATTCAGCCATGGAGATTAAAGTAGTGTCAAACTGCATTAATTCTACAGTATAGATGTACCCTAACTGCTGTAGCTCGATGCTGTAGAATTGTGGGCATTGTAGTTTGGCTTTCTCTGCCAAAGAGGGCTGCAAACCCCATAATTCCATAGTGTTTATTCATGGCTGTTAAAGTGGGGTTAAACTGCATCAATTCTCCGGCCCTGTTTACCTCTCCGAACGTATTCTCCCCTACGAACCATCAAGATTATTAAGATCATCTGGAGAGGCCCTGCTCTCGGTCCCCCCGGCCTCGCAAGCGCGCCTGGTGGGGACGAGGGACAGGGCCTTCTCGGTGGTGGCCCCGCGACTCTGGAACTCTCTCCCTCTGGAGGCCAGAACCGCCCCATCCATCCTAACATTTAGGAAACGGGTGAAGACGTGGCTGTGGAGTCAGGCCTTCGATGAATGAGACAACACCATAGGACCCTGGATGGAAGTTGAGGTAGATCCATCTTAATAGGACAACTGACCACTGTAGTTTTATATATAGTGTTTTTAAAGTTATTTTTGTAATTGTGATATATGATATTTTAATGAGTGTATATGTTTTTATGGCTGGAAACCGGGCTGAGTCCCTCAATGAGGTTGAGAAGCTCGGTATAGAAAACTCTGAAATAAATAATAAATAAATATACACATCCTAAGTTTCATTATTGTTTTTCCAGCTGGGAAGCTTTTCCAGTTGGAATTTTGGGCATTACCTGCAAGGCTGAGAAAAGGTTGTTTTCAGGTGGATTTTGTTTTTTGGAAGACTGCTCCCTAGGAGCTGTGAAAAAGCAGAAATTCTCCAGCGTTACCTTTTCTGTGGTTTGGAAGGGTGTTCTTTCAAAACCCCACCCATCATTTACAGCCCATAAATGGCCCAAAATCTCCCTCCTTCCCTGTCTCCCTGCGAGAAGGAAGGCAGGAGCAAGGAGGCAGCCTACTTGGATGGAGGAGTCTACTTGGATGGAGGAGTCTACTTGGATGGAGGAAGGGACAAATGGGCCAGAGACTCTGTTCTT